TTGAGTTATAGTAAATATGAGAACATATTCGTAAAGGAATTCAGTAAAAAAAAATACGCTAGACAAAGTCATCTTTAACTTTAATATGTAAGTATATAAATACCAACTAGAAATTCAAAAATTAAAAATAAAAAAAATCGCTTTAGCACTTTAAATAAAAGTTTAAATAATGATCGACGACGATGTGCGTCTCTGTATAAAAATATCTAAAGGAATAGCAGTGTTGAGTAGAGTTGCAAGAGGAATAAAAATTTCCACAGCTAAAATAAATGTCTATATGTAAAGTGTTTTTCAATGCGTTGTTAATGTCGAACCACAATAAGAATTGGAAGACGGTTTACATGCAAATTTAACAGTTTGTTCAATTTAGAAGTGCAATGCTTCATAAATCATAATAGTCTTGTGGTTTTAAAGATCAATCATGGATATGTGGATATTTTTTGAAGTCAGGGTGTCAAAATTTTTAGTTCATTGCGAAGCAAAGGCTGCTTTCGTAAAAGCAATATGCAAAGCATTTATGCAATTTAGACTAATTAAATTAAACGCATGACAGACCAATTTCATGCGCATGAGTTGAAAAAATGTGCATAAGTTTTTTTTACATGCATTGCATTGAAAACAAACCAAAAGAGCCGAAATGGATGGGTCGCTTTGAAGTAAGTAATTTATTTATATTGATTATTAAAATTTTATTAACATTTCACTTTATTCTTAAGATTATTTAAAGTTATAATTTTTTTAAACACGACTAACATTAACTCATTAACAATTTTCAGGACATTGCACAGGAGCATTCATAAGCGGCAAATAAATACATTGCATATTTTGGAAAAGCAGGGTTGTAATACATAAATGCTTTGCATGGGTATACAAAATGCTTTGCCCAATGCGTTTACGAAAACAGCCAAACATAAAACAGAATTGAAAATGCTACACATTATGAATTATCGAGGTCGACTGATCAATGGCTATTTATCAGAGAAATATGTTATATATTAGGTCGAGTAACAACTCATCTATTATTTTTGCGTTAAATTGAAGGCTTTATGTACCATAGTTAGAGTTATCGAATTTATGTCAAAAGTGCACCGTTTTAAGTGATCAACACTTTTCGCGTTATCTTTTTAGTACAAAAAATTATCTTTCTAACGTAGTCTAGCAATCCGATCGCACTCATAGAACGCGAGATTCAGATCATTAAAGACCATTTGGAAAAGTAATGGATGACTTGTTGCATGACCCAATATATATAGATATCTTGTATGTATATTTAGTTGTTAACAAAACAATTCACAAGTTCATCCATTAGCAGTAATTTCTAGAGAAAAGTAACGGAGTTAGTAGTTTTATCTCGTGTTGACGACATAAATGTCATTGGCTTCAATGCTTGAACAGTTTTCGTGTGAAGTACTCCTCTGAAATCGTGGGAGCGAAATTCTACTTCACATACCGGTGCGAATCGTTCCTTAAGCCTTTTAGGCGTTCAGCCTGAGCTTTAATGAAGTGCGTCCCCATATTCAAAATGGGCTTTATTACCATTTGTTTATCTGCTCAATTAAGGGCGATCTCTATTATTCCACCCATTACTCGAAATACCCTATCTCTGCTAACTCAGCGCACAAAATTAATGAACGCTTTTGGTCAAATTTATAAAATTTCATTTTATGTATATATTTTCTATACCTAGGAAGTCAACTACTTGAAAAACGGCTTAGACATTATTTATAATTTAATATTATTATTGTATACTATGGTTACCCACCTAACTAGAGAATCATTCACTAATATATGCAAAGCAGAAAGTCCTAATAAAACCATATACGAGTATATAAAGTATATAATATCCATCCATAATCACCAACATTTTTACTTATTAAATCATTTATGTATTCTTGTTCAGTCTAATACTATATAACTTACGGAAAAAAGATTTCATTATTCAAGTTGCAGACTCTATCGTAACGATAAAATTTTGGAAATATTGACTTCGAAGCAGTTATCAAATTAAATTTCTTTTCGTTTTTATCCGAAACAAAAGGTTGTCGTTAATGTTAAATCGTTAATAGATAATGTTAAAAGTTAAAATTGATGTGAGCTGTTAAATGTTAGCAAGCAGCCATTTTAAAATTAACGTTAACAATATATCGTGCGTTTGTCAACGTTAACGATTTCATTTCGTTTTGATAACATGGTGCCGAAAGGAAAATATTTCGTTGAGTTATTTTTTTTTGGTTAACGAAACGGAATGATATCATTGCGTTTGTTGTGTATCTCTGGATTATACATGTATTTTAGAACATGGCAAGCGCGGCGAATTTCGTATCATACCTATATTCTATTGTATAAACTTGTATGCTTACAACTTCAACATAACTGCCACGCCTGCTTTTTCTATACAAATATTTGTGTAAAGTGTCGAAAGTCACAAATTATTTATATACCTATAATATATATTTGCTATAATGCACAAATTGTGTCTGTATACTACTTTTGATTTTCAACTTTTTTTTTGAAACATTATTTTTAGGTTATAAATATTGTGTAAAAAAAAACCGTATATATAGATGTTATGGAATTAAGGTGTTAAATATCTAAAAAATATGTATCCATGTCAAAAGTATTATAAAATTATCTTCATAACAAAAAAAGTGATATACGTTAAGGTTTAGTACCCCAAGCCCGGAAGGTAAAATTATGTATTAAAAATCAAAGACAAATACAATAAAGAAGCATAAGAAAAATATACTTGTTCATCTAAAAATTTATAATATACAATATATGAATGCTTCAGTATATGCAAAAGTTCACTTAAATAAACAGATCTTACACATGTATTTTAAATTACTTCGTAAAAGAAAATTACAGAACGTGTAATTTACCGCACTGCGGACCTTAACACGCATCCGTCCTTTGAGTCAATTTGACACATTTTTTCATATTTAAGTCGATTTTTAGTTCATTTGTTGCAAAAATATTTTTATAAACATTTGGCTCACTGGACGGAATTCGACGAAAATTATAAATCAAGAATAATTTTTTATCTAGAATGCTTGAGGCGTGGCAAAAACACATGACAAAACGTTAAATGTGATGTTGCTAAGGATAATAAAAGTAGTTTTTAGTGCTTCTTTTGTTCAATTTTGTATGTGAAAGAGATAGATATATGTTTTTGAACAAAACCGGTTTGGGTAGTTTGAAATTTTACTTTTCGCTAGGTAGAAGGCGCGAAATGTGATTTAATCTTAAGTTTTATTTTGCAGTGAAAGGTTGTGTGCGCTTCTTAGAAAACAGTGTATTCCGCAAATTAGAAAATTATAAATCATAAAAACATGGAATTTATGTGGAGAGCCAAACTGCAAACGGACGACGAAGACGAAGAATATGAGCTCAATGCAGAAGAACTGACGATGAATATGACAGCAGCGGTAGCGAAATTGAGTTTGTGGAAGAAGATGATTTGACGCCAGACAATGCATTGTTCGCGTAATCTTCGATAAATGGGTGCATCGTTTTAAAATATTGTATAGACCTGGATCAAGGTTGACGGTAGATGAGCAACGATTGCCTTATCATGGTCGCTGCCCATTTACTCAATATATACTATCGAAACCACACAAATATGGCTTCAAACATTGGCTATATTGTGATGCAGATACTTTCTACATCGTATATGTGGGCCGCAAAAGTAAATCAAGGCGAGAGAGTGGTTTTGCAGCTCAAATAGTGGGCACATATTGCTTCTGCTGTTGGTGGCCAGTAGCAGTTTTCTGCAATATGCTCGATATGCGAACATTGTGTATACGGAGCTGAATCCTCTGTGGAATATACACGAGAAAAACCTCCGCTGGCGACTTTTCTTAGTGGAATTGGGTACTGCACATGTCTCACCAACTATTGTCCAACTGGAGAGGACCCCCATAGAGGAAAGATCCATGAGAGTAGTGAATGTAACGAGTGGAATTCCAAGATTGACGCACCACATCCCCTCCTGGAAACGGGCGCGATGCCATTTGTGTCCACAGAAACCTAACACGAAATAACACTCTGTGGAATGTGATGAATGTTCCCAAAAATCTGTCCAGAGCACAGATTCACCCTCTGTGAAAAATGTGAAAATGTAATTAACAAAAAATGTTTGTTATTCTTTTTTTCCACAATTATTTGTGTCAAATTCACAAAAGAGTCGGTTTATTTTTTTTTCTCTTAAGAACGGATGCGTGTTGAACTCGTACCTTGCTTCCCGAGACTGCAAAAAATTGTTTTCCAACATAGGATTTCGTACTAAAAATTTAGCGTATTTACTATTTTAAGCTAAAAACCTTCTAAGTCCGGGGTAGTGCTTATTTATATTATATATATATGTGTATATGTTTATATTTACATATATATATATATATATGTATATATATGTAAATATATATATACAAACAAATATGTAAATATTGTATATTTGATGTAATTAAGTGTATAAATGACAAATAAAACTTAAAATAATTATAATTAAGAAATAGATATAGAATATGATAAAAAATAATTTTTAAAATAATAAGCTGTAATAATAGCCGGATTTTTTTGTATCAGACTCACAAGAGACATCCAGTAGTATGACGTATGTATATCATGTAAAGTCTCAACAAAAAATAGTTGAATGAAGTTTGTAAAAGTATACGTTACCTTAAAAATATAAAGCCTGGAGTTATGCAAAAATGAGAAGAGAACTATTTCGCGGACCTTTTCAAATATTGTTGTTCCCATTTTAGGGGTGACATGAGCAAGCTACTAAAAATTCTGACCGAATCGTATCCATTGCTAATCGGTTACCAAAAAAATACGGCTAATATGTGAATTATTAGTTTATTCATAAAATGTGAAATAATAATAATAAAATACTGGCACTCTTTGATGAATAAAAATATGGTAATATATAAGTATTAAATATTTATTACATTAAATGTACAAAACCACACTTCATTACTGTGAGAGGGATAGGAAAGACTTACTTGAGTTTGCAAACGGGTTAATCCTCTAATCCAAAGTATTTGACCGGCTCGTGGTTTTTTATCAGAATCGATAGAATCAAAACGTTCTTCTCCCAAATGCATTGCATCAGTGTATTCTTCGGGGTGTCCACGACCCCAACTGTAAGTAGATACGAGAAATACGCACACAAAATAAATTTACGAGCGCAGTTAACTTTAAGCAAATGTAAAAATTGTGCTCGTAACATACACAAAAATTAATGTTTGAAAAACATAAAGCGAATATAAATACGAATAATTTAACAATAACTTGATTTCACATAGCGTACGAAAATTTATTTTTATAAAATATATCTTACAACATAAATCTTATAAGCTATTTTTTGGAGCAATAGCTACTAGGTCTCAAGCTTAATATTTATTTACATATTTACAGTGTGCATACAGGCTTAAAATCAATCTACAGTGGCTCAAAAATGATCTCGGACACACAAGTTATATGACTTTAAACAAAAAAAAATATATAATAAAATGCAAATCGTAGGCTTTCTGTTTAACCATAAACTAAATTCAACTCGGTCGTATACAAATAATATGAACATAATAACTTAACAAAACTGTTGACAAAAAAGAACTCGGACATAAACATAACATAGAATTTAAAAATATTATTTAAAGAAAAACAAGATATTCTTAACATTTGGTCGGCAAGCCCTTACTTTTTCTGATAGCATTCAGTCTTCTTGGCAAATATTCAACTAGTTTCTTGCATGATAACGAATTTATTTTCCCCACTCTTCCAAAATAGTGGCTTCTAGGCCTTTCTTATTGCTAATAGCATGCATTTTCATTTATTTTCCAAATGAGCCCAAAGATGTTCAATTACGTTAATGTCGGGAGATTGAGGAGGTGTTTCAAGCATTTTAGGACAGTCATAGATCAACCATAGACGGATATCAAGTGCTTTATGCTCGGGATTGTTGTCTTGGTAGTACTGGACTTTGCATTAAATATTCTTTTAAAATAGTCAGATATTGCTTGTGATCTATATTACCATACCATACCATTACTGAGCCGCCACAGTCGGAGGTAAATTCTTTTCTAGCAACTCCTCTCACCTAAATATATTAAATTTGCTTTCATCTGCAAATAAAAACTTGTTTCCAGAATCGAAAATCCTTATCCCCATGACATTTTGCAAATTTTATCATTTTGTTTCGGTTAACCTCGTTTATAAATGGTTTCTTCCGTGCATAATGGAAGTATATTATAATTATTCTTTCGTAAGACTTCGGATTTTATCCGGATTACAATTTATATTGAGATGTTGCAAAACTTCTGTTGAGAGCTTGGGAGCGCTCATGTTTGGACTTTTTTTGATTTGCTGCACTATCCACCGCTCATTTGCAGCCGATCGTCCAGACTTCTTATTGTTTTCCACGGACTTTTTTTGTTTGAATTGTCGAGCGGGGTCTGCTCACAATTTCTGCGATTTCCCGAATGGTTTTTCCCATTTCAAAATGACTAATAATTTACTTCCTTACTTCAATTGAACTTTGTCCACGCTGTCTACCCATGTTTGAACTTTTCACCTTTTTTCCAAAAAAAAACTACTGTAATTCTATTTTAAACTATTACGTTTGATTATATACATATGTATTTTTAAACGAAAACAAACTAATTGTGGGATTCCCCTTTTCAAAATGCCAAGCAACTGTAATATTACCAGATGTCCGACTTTGGTTGTTGATCGTATTGCTGGATGGTGTCTTTTAAGTCGAGTGATCCCTTTCTGATATGCCTAGGTGGAGGGTCCGCTTCTATTAGGTGTCTGTTCTCCCTACTGTACCATCCCAATAAAAATTACTTGCAAGCAAAGCATTATGCTCCTTAACTCATAGCATAGTTGCTTCGCTATGCAAGTGATGCTCCAGCGACATTAGATTCCCTGCCGCGGTCCTGAGGGCACTCGTTTTTCCCCGACGCCCAGATCGGTGCAGCACAGTTTACGACCGGCCGGCCTATTGCTTTGTAAGTTGCTAGCAAAGTTTCCTTGTCTTTATTACGGGTGCTGCCGTCTAGCGCTTTGAGTATTTTGTTACGGATCTGGAGTTTTGAAGCAATTACGGTCGTGTGCAGACTGAATTAATGAGGGCTATGAAGTGTGCTCCCAAAATCTTGGGGTTATTTATGATCGGAATTATCACGTCATCAATCATAACATCCGATTCAAACCTATATTCCTTCGTCCAGCTGGAGAAAGGAGTAGCCGAGGATTTTGCCGGAAGCATCTTAAGCTGTCTTTTAGTGAAGAAGTGGGACAAATCGGAGAGATAGCAGTTAACTTTCGAACAAAAGTCATCAATATCTTAGCCAGAGGCCAATACCGTGCAATCATCAGCATATGAGGTCAGGGAAACTGCTTCTGGTAGGGACAGAATTTCGAAATGTAGAAATTAAACAACAGTGTGGAACCACTTGTTCAATTTGCCCTGATTTTGATGTTTCACCCCGAAATATTACCGATGATTGTTGACTACTCAGGTAGCCCATGATCCGATAGAAGCGCTGAACGACTGACGGTATCAAAAGCTATTTACAGATCCAGGGCTACCAGGACAGCTCCGCGCAGGTTCGGTTTTGGTTTCAGCCATCTGAGTGTTTATTGCGTTTAGTCCTTTTGTGATACAGTGCACTTTACGGAAGCGGGCGGCAGCGGCCACGACAATCCTGCGGAATAAACGTTCACCAGAGGTGATGTCTGACGAAGTAGAGACAGCACATGAAATCGGACTAGTTAGCTTCTTTAAAGTAAATCCGGGTGTCCGCGGAGATGGATATCGGGATGGATATGGGTAAGTGGTTCGATACTAGTATCACCAGGTTATACTGTTTATCAGACCAGCACTCGCAATTCTTATATCTGGTGAGCTTTGGCAATTACCCATAACTCTGGTGAGTGTGTAGTAGTTCATTGTGTATATTGTTGAGTAGTATATCTGTTCCGCCTGCTCCATACCTCTACGGTCGTTTAACAGCCTAGAATGTCAAACAACGTGGAGCGCATTAAAGTCGCCTTAAACCAAAAGGTTTTCGCATCTGAGTAGCGCATCTACATCAGGGCAATTTGAAACTGGAGGAATGTATATATTAAATATTTCGAGTTCGGCACCGCCTGACCGGATAGCTTTACCCTGACGATACCGTACAGTGTTGTGTGGGATGAACTCTAATCCTCCACCAAGGTCTCGCTCGCGATCCTTATAGATAATGTTGTATCCGTCCCGACTCAGAAAATTTAAGTGGTTGGACAACTTTGTTTCCTGGAGCGCAGCAATTGACAGGTGCTACTGGCTTATGATGTCGACTATCTCGTCGATCTTTTCCTGAAGTCCGTTACAAGTTAAACTGTACACAGTCGAGTCGAGACTGTCTCGGGGGGACGTTCGTGATTCGGGGGCAGGGAGTGATGTGTGGATGTAATGTGTTTTTGCTATATTACCCGCTGGATTGGATGAATTGGATGGTTGGCGGCGTTGTTGTAGATACAGGCGGGGGCAGACTCCTATAGCAAGCAACATACTCATCGCTCCTTTGGTGGTGCGCAGACCGGAAATGACACCAGCCAGAGCAAGAATTGCATCTGATTGAGGCCGTGTACCTACGTATTATGATCTGACACACGGAACAGATTGTGAGGGGGACTAGGAGTTGCTGGGTCATACTGCGGAGAACTATTTGAGACCGTGAAGGTCTGTTGGTTACTTAAAGTGAGTAAAGGTGCTGAAGGCATTCTCGTTGAGGCGTCGTCTTCTGTTGGTGCACTTATACTGATGTTGCTACCTTTTGACCCGAACGGGGTTAGGTCGCCGAAACGGTGACAGACCTTAGCCGGGTAAAATCCAGGTCAACTCCGGTGCATATAACCGGGTGTACAGTGTGCACCATTTAGACCTTCGGCATTTAAACAACGAATAACTGTCGATATATGATTCTGAATCGTCATACAGTGCCATTTTAACCATTAGTCAATACACACCGAAAGAACGTCCTGCAATCGTAGCGTTTTAAATTTAAAACAGTTTTTCAGATGTGAAAACAGTTATCGATACACGTTTCGTCTAAAAAATAGTGATTTGGAGTTGCCGCCTCATTCTCCAGATGCAAGCAAGCCAAAAACAATCAAACTAAAATGTATTATACGAACTTTAATATGCACGAAAAGGAACTGTTTTTTCTGTATTGAATGTGGTCATTTAATCGACGTAGTGTTCTGGAACTAATTCGAAATAAATAGCGAAGTATATTATAAATAAATCATGCTCATTTGTCAAAATGCGCTAATTATTTTTTTTAAACATTTTATCATTATTTTTTTTATTTGTTTTATATTTTAACCATGTCACCGAAAAGTAACTTATTTGCACGAAAAGTGTTCCAAAAGGTGACAGATTGCAAATTATTGTAACAAGGAAAATGTATAGAAGGCAGAATTGCATTGCGAAAACGGTTGCCGTTTTTAAACTCGCCCTATGTATAAGTGCTTATGACTGCCTTAAAAAAGAGAAACACATTCAAAAAAACAATAAAACGTTATTTTGAAAAATCTGCTTTTGCAAGATGAAAAATGTTATGCAAAGCAAGATACTGAAAATGTTCTTTACCCAAAAGCAAAAACGTTTTTAAAAGTTTGCTGTCAATCGTACAAACAGCTGGGGCACATAAGTAAAAACCTGTTCTTTATAGGTGTTGGCACCACTTAGGCGATTATATCCGATTCAAGTACAGAGCGCTAATCATCCATTCTTTTCGCTGTTTGGCACCAGGTGGAAATACCAAGAGAAACCAGGTCGCTCTTCACCTGGTCCTTCCAACGGACGCTTTAAGTAGCTTGGTGAATTCATTGACTGGAGTGAATACTAGTACTCGGCGAAGGAGTCTCTCTCTCACCACGAATCCTACACCAAATTTTCACACCTCTATATGGCCACCGTTTTAAATTTTACAAGGGCCTACTTTCTTCCGTCCTTGTCCTGCCCATCGCATTTCTTGAACGGCGGTGATGTCAGCCTTTAATATTGTGAGGACATCAACCAACTGGGCAGCCGCACCTTCTCAATTAAGGGACTAAATTCGTAATCCTTAAAACATTTGCGGGGT